TCCCAGGCACGGCTCAGTTCACAGCAGTGTCAATGGCCAACATCAGCTGAGCCCCCCCCAGCCTGTACTTACGCAGGGGCACGCCAGCCCTGGCTACAGGTTTGTCCTGCATGCTGCCCCACACATCAGGGCTCTTCTGCTCTGTTTTTAATAGGGCCCAGGACCCTGCCATCCTGCGGCAGGGAGGGACGCCTGGGAGCTCTGTCTGAAATGTTTGCTGCACAGGTATTCAGCTAAAAAAGAACTAAACACAGCAGAGGCTCAGTTTTCCCATCCTTAAGGGAGTTTTGTAAAGGTCTGTCAGTCACATCCTGCTGGATTAAACTAGATTAAGCATTTAGATGTCCACTCTCCCTTCATACTAATACAGACAACTCTTTCAGTGTTAATGTACACGCTACCACCAATGTGAACAAGAAAAAAAGCTCTGAATCGGTTTTCAAAAGTTACTTACAAGAGCCAAGGTCCGGGGGGAAGGCAATTCAGCAAGCAAAGCTAAGAAAAAACATTCCCAAACTGTCAGCTTAATTAGCTTCAGCACAATATTTAATGTGGTTGAACAGCATGGGATGGTTTGGGAAATTTAGCATCAACTGCAGCAGGCATGCAGTGCCTCAGTGAGAAACGGATGAAATCTCTTTCTAGTACACAGCAAACTTGCTGGGAAATGTTTTGTTTGCTGGGAAACAATATCTGGCTGCAGGATGAATCTGCTGCCCAGTTTTGGCCAGTGGAGGGGACTGACAAGCCCGAGGACAGCGTTCGTTCCTGGCTGGCCTTCCCACGAGACCGCAGCGGCCTTTCTCTGCGTATCTCAGTCCATTATGCGAAGCAGAGCTCTGAAAAGCCTGGGAAGTCCCACCTTGAAAGGACTTCCAGTCTGGTAGGGTGAGATTAGGACATTTTTCAAACAGGAGGGGATCAGACCTGGGGCTCCCGGATTGCAGCTGAGCATCTTATCCAGTTAGTCACAGTGCTGAGTAAGTGCCAGCACTGCCTCTGCCTCTGGCAGCTTTGCAAATTTTGCTTCTTTTTTTTTTTTTTCTTCCCCGTAAGTGCAACAGCCCAAAAATGGAACAACCTATATGGAGCTGAGTGGTAAATGGAACGTTATGTTGGGCACAACAGAGATTTGGGGATTTTTTCCTTTAACTTTTTGGTTACTGAGCCAAAAAGTGATGCATCTACACAGGTCATCAGTGAAATATGCAAGTTATTGAAAAAAAGTGACCATTCAGCCTAACAAACTGGCACTATTATCTCCATCCTTGCAAACAGTAACAAGAAATTTTTAAATGGTAAAAACCCCGTTCCTGGAAATGTAAGGACACAAAGCCGACGAACCCAGAGTCCAACCCAAACTGCCCCCCATCAGCTGGGATTCCTGAAGAGGTTTACAAGGAGGATCAGCTTTAAAGATCACTGCAAGACCAAGAGCCTTTATCTCACAAACTGGCCCCTATTTCCTGAAGTCATCCAGAAATGTTAAGCTCAAGCAATTTATCATCTCTACAGTTGCTTGAAAGAACCATTCTATTAAAACCGAGATTAAAATGGCTGAAAACTTCTGGTGGGAAGAGGGAAACTACCACTGAACAGAAACACCAAGTCTCTGCTAAGTGAATCTGCAGCCACAGCCATGCATTTGCACTGTTTGAGGATCTTGGCTGCAGAGCTGTTTCAGAGAAGGTCAAAGAACGAGTTGGAGAAGCTGTGTGCTAGTTTCCTAATAAGCTTGCCTTGTCTCACATTTCTGCTCATTTCTTTCATACCTTCAAAGTTGTTATAGCAGCTCATAAAGAGAAAATAAAGATTACACACAAGCCTTTGCCCTTGAGACCATCCCTGACCTCTGGTTTGCCATTTACATTTATTACAAAAGAGCCTGAAATGTTTTGGAGGCACGGAAAGGCATCTGATGGTTACAGAGGGTTTTGCACCAATAACGCTCCACTCGCGGGGTTTCCTCAGACCGAACTTTGCAAGGATATTGAAACTCCTTCGGTCACAGGCAATAAATGCAACTGTGCCAAGGCTGGGAGGAGGGGAGGAGGGGGATGGTTCCTTGCACACCACTGCTCTCTTATCCATCTGGAATTAGGAAAGCACGCCTGGAAAGAAAAAGCCAACAGCTTTGGATAAGCCAGCCCAATTCCTGGGCTATGACATATTCATTGTATGCACGCGTGCGAGAGACCGCAAGTAACTCGTTTGACTGCCTTCAGTCATTACTTAAAGTAGAATAAATGAAAAGATTGACCATGGCAATCAGTAGCAAAGGACTTCTTTAACAGTTCTGCAAGCCAACCTTATCTCAGCTGTGGGAAGTGAAGCAGTCTTGAGTTCAAAATCAGATTTAAGAGGATTTGAGAGCATTCACATCTGGTAAAATCTGACCCAGGACCAATGCTTCCCTGCAGGCTTGTGCCACTGAAATCAACAGGAATGACACTGGAGATGTAAGCGTGGTCAGCTTGGAGCCACAGCAAGCAGAAGGCAAGAGCGAGTTGTTGTGACTGGTGGGCTCCTGAAAAGCAGCCTCCTCCCTGCTTCCACCCCTCTTAGCTTCAATTTCCTTTATTAAACTAGCCAGGATTTGCCCATGACTCTGCAGAATAGCTATAGCTTCCTTTTAATCTGCCATTCACAAACTGCCCGTTGCTACCACATGCTGCACTACAGCCTAGAGGAGAAAGACAAACTGTTTCTCATGAGTGTTCATATATTCATTTCAATTCAATTTAACTGTGAGCTTCATTATGACCTTGTTAGCACTCCCTCTCCTGTTTACTTTCCATTAACATTCAGGCTGTCAAACTTTATTAGCACAAATGACCATAGAAAGACTGAGCTGCTTGAATTCTTGCAGTTTGAAACAGATTTAGTGGGTGAAATTCAATCAGTCCGGTAGGCGAGGAGACCTCTCTACCGTGCTGACTGGCAAATCTTGGAAGTGTTCACAACCAAAATGTGATGACAAGAAGAAGCCTCGTGCCCACGTCAGGGAAACAGCAGCGACACACTCCCAGGCAGCCAGCCACAGGTAAGCTAATTTTGGATTTCTTCATGTCACAGACTGAAGAAAATGTAAATGAGAAGGAACCATTCATAGCCATCTATTTTTTCAAATTATATATTAAAAAAAAAATAAGGAAAAAAAAACTCAAACCCAAGTATATTCTACAAACAGATACAAAGCAGGAAAAATGTCAAATAAATTATATGATTCATGGAGCTCTGCAAACCACACAAGCATTTTGTATGCAGCCCACACTATCACCTCTGTCTCAAGAGAAGATGACTTCTTTACTGAACTCACCCTTCCCTTTAGTCTCAGTTAGATTTCTGGTCCCCCGAAGAATATTATAACATATGGTTGACTTTCTCACATAATACCTAGTTCACAATCTCACACAAAAACTTCCACAATATATGTCATTTTGACACGGGTTTAAACATGATAAACAGTGTAATACAATCTCCAGCTGTTTGAACAATTCTTGTCATAAACTGCCTCTCTGCGTTGTCATCGTGCTCGCTGCTACATGGAGCTTTATTCTCTTTTATTCCTTACATTACTTCTACTTCCACTCCAAGACATTTGGAAAGAAAAATGCATAAATGCAACGTTAAAAGCAATATTCCCTTGGATCTTCTATCTCTATGCAAATGAGAACCTCAATTTCATTTTGTGTTTGTTTGTCTGGGGGGTTAAAATCAGAGATGAACAAAAATGTAGCTTTTTTTTTTTTTAATCTGGTTAGGTCATTCGGAAATGTTGTGTGTAACATTTCAACAAAAGTTTGCATAAAGCATTTCAAGAGTGGGAGAAAGTAAATGAAAAGAAAAATGAGAAAACTTAAACTATTCCAATTTTTCAGTTCAAAATATCCATTTCATTATTTAGTTACTTTTATTTAAAAAAAAACTTTCAAGGGTCAAAAAGCTGGGAAACAAAACATTTTGTCTATTTATGAAGTTGCCACAGGAAAAAATGTTTTGTTTTCAGTTGATTGCAATGACTTTTTTTCCTATTTTTTTAGTGTAGCCTAGAAGACTGGGACAAAACTTCCCCCTTTTTCTTGTGCAGTTCTAGTAAAAATAAACTTAACATCTAACGGTGAAGCAGATGTGGATTAGGGAAGGTTAATACCCACTGGCACGTCGGTTTCTAAGCCCCACTTCTGGAGGTTCCCAGCGCTGGTCAGTTATGAAACCCAATCTGCCTCTGTGCAAACAACACACAGCCCTGGCAGAAAACTCCTCTGCTTTGAATGCTCTTGTGACTTTTGCAAAGCCTGGAGAATAGATGCTTTCCTATTGTTCTGATGGGATGGCACAGGATACGCTGGAACACAGAAGAGGAAATGAGATGGCAAAGATGCGAGGCCCATGAAGACAAGCCTGTGTCTGAGCCTACAACCAGCCGCAGCGGCCGGGGGCTTGCTACGAACCCTGTCCACCAGTTACACTCTTCTTTGGTGCTCCAGCGTGGCTGCATATTCAATCCCTCCCTGCCAACCCAGGTGTGGAAGAAAGAATACATTTTAATATCATAAGAAACACAGAAAGAATAGAGAAGAATATTTCACTTCATTAGTGGGCTTTAAAAGCTAAGATCTAAGATAAAGATGAAGGGAAATTTAGGGCAGGCTAAGGAACGAGTTCCCCAGGGAAACGGTAGAAGCCCCATCCACCGAGATGCTTAAAATTAAACTCAATAAAGCATGAGAAAGTACGTGGTGCTAAGCAGCATCAGCAGAAGGCTCAGCCACGTGAAGTGTCTATTTCGCTCCTGATTTCTGTTCTCTTCTCACCCCTGCCCAAGTGCCCTGGCAGAGTCTGCTCCCACTCAGCATCGCTGTCACTCCTCAAACAGCCAGGGGCAACTTCAGTTATTTTGATGGGTTTAGCTTTATGGTAAATTCCTTCCCATAAATATAGATGGACACATCGTTACAGGCTTATCTGTGCTGAGTAATACCTTGCTCTGGCCTCGCCTGCAACTTCACACTGCTCTGAGTAAGGGAGGTCACTGCACCACTGCGCGGGGAGCAAAGAAGGAACCAGGACCTCCTGCCTGCTCCTGCCTGGTCCCCCCCTCCTGCTTTCACTCTGCCCGAGGCACCACGTGGGGCCAGCCAGCAGGTCCCAGGGACGAGCTTGCCCTGCTCCACATCAGCGAGACCCAGCAGCAGTCACAGACAGCAGGCCAGCACTGAAGGCAGCACAGACAGGTGCCTGGGCAGGTAACTTGCTGCTCACTGGGCGAACCTGGGGTGAGACTCGGGTAGCTCTGGCGTGCAGATATGATGGGGTTATTCCTAGTGTCAGAGAAAAAATTACCCAAATCAAATAGATTAAAAACCATGTTGGCTCATGCCAGGAAAGCCATTAATATAACTAAATGCTGTTGACAGGGAAAAAGATAAAAATCACATGTCAAAGCCGGGGAGGGGAGGATTTGATTAAAGATGGCCTAACTGATTCAGCAGCAATTAAGGTAGCTCTTCAAGTGGTGCAGCTCACCCTGCCAGGAGGGAGGCAGCGGGTCTGGCTCCTCGCTCGCACCAGCGTTACTCTGAGCTGCTGACACAGCTCCACGCAGAGTGGAGCAGAATCGGGCCCGAACCGTCTGTGGCAACATTACAGGATCAGATAAGACACCTCAGGAATGCAGCAGTGAGTGGAGCACTTTTGTAATGCTTTCATTTCCATTCTTGGCTTATTCTGTCCCAGCTTTCATTAAGAGACGAAACAGTGGTTGGAGGAAAAGTTTTTACATGAATTAGTTTAAAGGGCAGGAATTACATTCGCATTTTAATGGTGTGGAAATGAATAATCTGAATAGGGAGCAACAAATGTGGGAGGGGCTGCTCTGTGTTTTCCGTTTACCAAATGAAAACAGCGCTTGATTTTCTTACTCAACCACCTCTCCAGTAACCACCTCATCCAGCCATCTGCTAGATGCTGAGACCCTGGCCCTGCGAGGCACTCGGATGTCCTCTGATGCCACATTAGTTAGCATTTGCCCCTGGGGTGCTGAGTGGGGGCCCCAGCCGAGCTCAGACCTTCCTGTGCTGGGCTCGGCACAGCCCCTGCCCCACACCGTGCCTCACTGATGGGGCCAGAAAGTGAGCTCGACACTGCAGGTGATGAGCCATGGGATGAGCAAGTAGTGCCCTGTAACACAGGGGGCAAAGTGCAGCCGCCTGACCACACTTACAGCATCGCCCCATCACCAGGCTGGGAGAGCTCCACAGCCCCGGCACAGCATCGTGGATACGTGTGCTTAAGTTTGGTTGGGTGAAGACCTTGAAATAACTAACAGCAAGGAGAGCTTCACCTGAACATGGTTGCAGAATCATGCCCTGAGCCAAGAGCCTCACTGAAGTCAGCAGGAGACTCTCATGGGCATCAGATGAAATCCCTGCTGTGCCTGGCTGTGTGTTACAGCAGATACACTCAAACAGCTCGTGTGTCTTACAAGGAGTTATCACCTTTACACTGTGCATATGTGGCAAAAAGCCAGATGGCTTCATGCATGATTCCCTTTAAGCAGAAAAAAGGAAAACCTCCAAACAAAGGCCCTGGCTCATCCATCACTTCCAATAAAAATGAGTCAGCTACAGATATAAAACAAGCTATGGAAGCCATCAGGCCTTGCTTCTCTTTGGAACCTCAGAAAGAAAGAAAAAAAAAAAAAAAAAAAAAAAAAAAAAAAAAAAGCATTGATTTAATGCAGGCTAAGGTTACACCATATTATTTTATTTTTAAGCAACTGTGAAATGTGGGACAGGACATTACATAGAAAACCAGAAAATGTTTTTACTGTGTTATTGTTGTAATGACTTTGTTATTTATCTCATCCAAGCAGTGTATTTGCACACTGAAGTATCAGTATGGTAGATTTTTGGACAGTATCCTGTTGGGATGCACCAGGTTTTAAAACTCCAGCATCACCGAGCTGCCATGCCCTAACAGAGGCACTAGAAATTCCTCACCTTTGCAGACCAACCAAGCTCCAACAGTCCTTCCCCCAGCATAAAAGCCAGACTAGATTTTAGGAAAATGCATCAGAGAAACAAAACAAATCACAACACTTCACAAGATAACCTATCTCATACTGATGAGCCTAAAAGTGCTTTAGAATTAGTTATTAATTCCAAATGCACCTGCTAGGTAGTCAATATTTATGCCTCCTTTTTATCAATACACAAACTGAGGTCCAAGTCATTAGGGTGTTGCAGTGAATCAGTGGAGAGGCAGGGACAGATGCCAGAGGTCCTGTTCCAGTGGAAGTTTGTTCATCAGATAAACATGCTCTGCATGTTTGCCTTATACCTCCATAAAGTAAGGGAGACAATATGTTTGTCTGGAGTTTCACATTGAGTCACAGAAAAAGCCTGAAAAGGAACCCAAGAATTACCTAAAAACAAAAAAGTAATAGCAGTAATGTACCATACTGACACTTGCAGTGCAGCATTCATCCAGAGGAACAGTAATGAGGCCCTGCATTTTTATTTTTGCAAGGAGAATCCCACAGACTAAAAGGCCACTGTAATTGCACCACTCACGCTCAGGACAAGAGCCTGGAGGCAGCTGTTGTATCTTATTTGTGCCCCATTTCCAATCAGGCTCCTGCCTGAAACCTCAAAACCACAGTACCAGCCACTTGGAAATAGGTAACAGGAACCTACAGGGCAGTGCTGCTGGTTTAAGAGCAATAAAACACTACGTTGGACTTACGCCACCCACTGAGCTCATTTCTTCAACCTTTTCTACACAAAACCTACCTGCTGACTTCAGGGGCAACTGTATATATGTATCGCTGCAGCATCTGAATTATAGTGCCTGGAAATCAGAAATAAATCCTAGTGTCCAGCATCAGAAATTCAGTTTTGTGGTTGTGCAGGTTACCAACTTGTACATGGACGAGCCTGGATGGGTGAGCAGACAAAAGCAGCTCCCCCTCACACACACTGATCGGTTTCTCTTCCAAAGAGAAAGTGGTGCCATCACGTCTGGGGAGGTCTGTTGGTTGGGTTTTAGTATAACAATTTTGGTTGCACTACAAATCTTTGAAGAGAAACAATCACAAAGAGCGGCCAAATAAACTCCAGCACAACTGCCCGGTCCCCAGGGAGCTCTTTATCACAAGAGCTAAATGTAGTTAGAGAAGTCAAGGGAAGAGCAACTTCTTTGCTGTTTGCTAGCTCTCCCAGAAGAGAATGCCACACGGCAGAAACAAAAATGATGGAAGGACGGGTGTGTATGTAATAGTGCCATCTGGTGATTGCATCCTGAGCCATAGGCATGTGTCTGGCACATGTGTAAATACATGTGTACTTACATGACAGACTCAGTACGCACCTGCCATGGCATCGCAAACAGTATTTTTAATTATTCTTAGCTGTGGCTCTGGTCTTAAGGTAGGCCACTGGTAAAAACATTCTGTAATTCTCTAATTCTTTTGTTGTTGACAGAGCTTCATGCTAGGAAAAAAAAAAAAACAACAAAAAAAAAGTGCTGGGTTGACTTGTTTCAGGAGTGCTGATTCCTTTTATATATCAGTATTCCTTAGGGGGATGAGGCCTCGCCAGCCGAATGTCAGTCTCATGATTAAAAGAAGCAATTTTCAGCCAGCACACAGGCGCGCCTTCCACCTGAGAAAGACCCAAGGACAGAAGGAAAGAAACAGGTACAGCTTAGTTTACTTACTGAAGTTGCTCTGTAAAGAAAGCCATGAACAATGAGGTCTAAGAGCACAGGCTGTGAAGAAAATAAAGTGCTTTGGGGAGACCTGCAGAGTGATCTGGAGCAGACAAAGGAAATTTGGTGTTTACAAAGGGCAAAGACAGGAACAGCAATTGTGCGAGCTGGGAGGATGTTCTAGGATGGCACAGAACTATTTAACTGATGGTCATTAATCTCAGCAAGGGAAGGAATTCTTCTTTTGTGCCATCTGTTTCTAATTACTGCCCCACTCGGCTCTGGGTCCAAATTGAGCAATTCAAACTCAATTCCAAACCACCCAAAGTGTGAAAGGTTTTGGAAGGCACAGGAATTGGAGTATTGGGCAAAAATTGCAAGGTTTATGGCATTTACACACGAGCACCCAATTAGCTCGTGCACAAAACAACACACACGAGCACCCCCTTAAGTCATGCATGAGCACCAAATCAGTCCACCCATACACACCTAATTACTTTATGCAGGAATGCATAAATTGGTGCATGAGCACCCACTAAGCACGCACTGGTGCCTAATCAGGCTGTTATTCCTGAGTGCACAGTTAACTCATGCATGAGCTCCTGATTACTTTATGCACAGGTGTCCAACTGGTGCTGTGTGCCTAACTGGTATGTGCCTGAGTGCCCAAGCCGGGCATGTGTGAGTGCTCAAGTGCCTCATGCATGAGCGCCCAATTAATTTGTGCTCGAGGGCCCTGTTTTATGCATGAGAACACAATCACTACATGCATGAATGCCCAATGAGTTTATGCTGGAGGAACCAGGGATCCCATGCAGCAGCCCCTAGTCACCTTGTGCATGAGCACTCCACTGGCTCCACCCCAGTGTGGTGCTGGGCACGCACAGCACCTTTTGGCTGCCGAGGCTGCGGTGGTGCCTGTGCCGGGTGCTGGCCCCAGCCAGCTCTGAAACTGCTGGAAGCACCCAGAGCACCCCAAGCACACATGAGAAGAGCCTCCAGCACTCCAGCTCTAACATATTTAAGAAAGAGCAGCAGCTGCTAGCAGTGGGGCTGCAGACATGCTCCTGGAAGAAGGCACTTTGTGTGCAAGGCACACACCCCAGGGGACTGGCTTCGATACGATTCATAGGTATTTTTACCTTCTTTATATGTCTTTTGCAGAAGTATCAGAAACATCACTTCTGGAACCAGGAACAGACGCTGTCTAGAAGCTCTGATACCTGTCCCACTGCTTGTGATTCTGCAGCACTCCCCCAGGAACTCAAACACAGAGTAATGACTGGCGGTCTCTAGAGAAAAGCTTCACTCGAACAAAATGCATTGGCTTAAGAGGAATAAAGGATGAAGCTCTACAGCCTGTGCTGCCACACAGGAGCTCAGATAAGATGATACGATGACATACAGCGGTCATAAAATCTGAGGTCTTATCAGTCCAACTCGGTTAGGTCTCCGAATAAGCCTAGCACCACTGGTAAGTCCAACTTGCACAGCTTTCCTTGTTCAGGCACAGGGAAAACAAGGTGGTATGTATAAAGCCTCACTCATGCCAATAAAAATGTACTACAGGAATGAATGTATTTATTAACTCTCAGCAGTGATGGCAATGGTTTTGGCTCAGCTACAGTTTCCTGGCTTTGGACACAGGGTCACAAATCTCTGAGATTGTTGATTCTTGCCCTGAAGTAAGGAAACGTCTAAAGTCTGACCTGGAGCTGGCTACCCCAGGGGACAGAAAGCAAAGCCTAGCACCCTTGTAACAGTATAATAACTTTTTTAGCATTCAAACAGAAAAAAAATAAATATTTGCAAGAGCAGTGGAAGGGGTGGCTTGAAGACATTTTGGATCAGCTCTTTACACTTTCAGCTGCATGCAAAGGAAGGAGCCAGGCAGAGCACCCTGCCTGGGAGCTCCTGCCACAGCCTGGAAGGGGAGGCTATTTCTGAACGCTTGCAGCAGTGTGCTGGCGATCCAAGGCCTTTCAGGAAAAGGCCAGTGCAGGACTGGCTGCAAGGCTACAGGAAGCATGTGTCTACCTGGCTCGCAACCAGACTTGCAAAAGCAGAGTTAATATTTACAAGAAATAATGATTTTTTGAAGTAACTGGAAAAAGTTACAAATTAAGTCCTTTTAGTATTTAATTAGATATTCAGAAAGTTACCTTGGGAGGATGGCAAGGGGTCCTTCTTACTACCCTGAAAACAGCAAATACAGGGATAAGCAAATATCACAATTATGCATTAGCCCTAGCCACAGTTGTCTCATAAACAAAAAGAGTCTTGCCTTTAACTGAAATCCTCCCTGGTCCCTTCTCTGCATGCCTGAGTTCTGCTGCCCTTTACACCCAGACAGGACATACGTCTTCTTGCACAGTCAGTGTTTAGCACAACAAGAGGCAGATAAGTCACTGGAGACTACTCGCGCTCAAAACCAACAGAAATACATTCAGCATTTGCCTACGGCCAATCAGCCTGGGTCACATCACACAGAGCATTTGGGATGTGTTAGAGCAGGCACACCACCCCAGCTGCGGTGCTGGCACATCACCACAAGCAATTCATTTGGGAGTCCCATTTCTAAAGGTGGCCTAGGATTTTAGGAGCATACTTCTCAGCGAAAGCTGATCAAAATACATTCCCAAGGCCCAGACAGTTGAACTTTTACTTCAAAAAAACCCGATGCCTAGTGATTCCTATCCACAAACTTTCACCCTAGGTCATGTCCAACCAAGAGCAAATGGCGGGCACAAGGAGTACGTACTGGCTGAGTCTGGCCTGAAGAATCTCTTCTGAAAATGGGTATTGGCCTCTTAAATCCCTGCGCTGCTTCATGTACGTGGCTGAAGAAGGCAATTAGTCAATGGGTTTCTGTAGGAGAATTTGCAGAGATTCAGCCCACACTCTAAGCTGAATTTGCCAGGCAAGGTTGTCTAAGGCTGCTGCTCAATTATCAGACCAATATTTCCCAGCACAAACCTAGGAGAACTCAACAGATTTTTCCTAATGCAGGCAGGAGCTGGGCTCAGAAGGTCACCAACCTCACCAGCCTGCCTCATCCTACCCAGCCCTAAAGAAGAGGACTAACCGATGCATTCTGTCAGAAATCTGAAAGATGCCGATCTCAATCACACCTCTCCATTAGATCAGTATCTGGGAACCTTTCCCCCATCTGTACTCTGTCCACAGAAGCAACAAGCTTTACATTTCTCCAAATATAAAAGCTTTTTCATTTCTTAAGCAAAATCCATCAGCGTTTAGCATTTCTTCATGCGCTGAAATCCCCGCTGTTAGTGCTGAAATTTAACCTATCAGTGTTTGCATTCAAGGAGCCCATCAACAGCCTGCGGTTAAATCCTCAAGGGGAGATAAGGCACCTGAACCCCTGTGAATGCCTGGATTTATAGGCGTTGGGCAGAATCGTTTTCTGCCCATGGTACTTAACATAAACACGAGCTGTATGAAGAGCCACTGAACAGCTCCCCCCACCTTTTTCAAGAAATGGCTTTCTCCTTCTGTCCTGCCTGCCTACCTGGGAAATCCTCAGGGGAACCTTGCAATAATAGTGTGAGCTGCCAGCTGTCTTTGGACAAAGAGCAATATTAGCTAGGAAAAAAGTCAAAATTATAAATTATGTAATTAGGATAAGTTGTTATGTCATCAGGGAGGTGAAGCATCATCAAATACATTGGCCCAGCTCGTGAATTGCACACCAGAGTTTTAAAGACATGGATAATCTTTACATAACTAAATGGTTGACAAATCACTGCCATCTTCGACTTGAGTGTGAGTTGCCAGATGAAAGAGAGAAGAAAAAGATGTTGCAAGAAAATCAGCAGGATGATTTAGCAGTCTACTCTCTTCAGTGTCTTTTAAGCAGAGTTTTGCAATTAGGTGAGAGGATGCTGCGTTACATGTAGACTTAGTGTGGAGACCCAGTGCTTGAGAAATAACAGCCTAGAAACAGAGGTTCACCCCAACACATGCAAGAGAGCCCACACTCCTGCCCCCCCTAAAGACTAAACAGGAACATTCAGACCTTACACTTGGGGCTCCTTGTCCATTCCTGCAGTCTTCAGTATTTGCCTGACCCTGATTAGCACAGCATCTGATCACTACTTAGCAGTGCAATGCACTTGAGCTGTATTGATCCTCACAGTACTGCTGTAAGGTAGAAAATGCCTTAATAACAATTTTACAAATATTAAAAGGGGGCATTGGCTTGCCAGAAGAAACCAGTAGAAAAGCAGGGAACTGAACACAAGTTTTTCAGAATTCACATCAATGTAATGAGTTTGCACTTGCATTCAGCACTCCCTCTTTGTAAAGATATCTTGGCTGTAGCTATTAATTTCTCTCCAGATCCTAACAACTGGTTTGTTTGTAGAAAAGTATGTGTGTGTCCCATGAACCATGATGAGGTTGTTTCATTTTTGGTCACAAGCTCTAAGCATTCCAGAGTCAAAAGTAGCATTCAGCTCTACTATGCGTGCTTTTTGTTCCAGAAAAGGTTAGCTCTGCTCTTGTTTTGAGAAACTAAGCATGCTTTTGCTTTTATCACTCTTACACACAGTGTTTGTAAGGGTGTGTTTGGCCCCACAACAACCCTGGATCTGTCAGTGGCACAATATATCCTCACTGGCAGCTGAGCCTCCTGACAACTGGGAGCCAAAGGCTTGGATGAAACACAGATCTGCTCTGTGCAAGAGCCTGGACTCTTCTCCAGGTCCGTTACAAGGCAGGTTAACAAGTGGGACACTGAATTAGTACAGAAGAAGATTTTGTATGGGGCTGGAATACTTCAAGCATTACAGCGAGGTGCAAGCATTCAGACTGGTACTGCCAGTGCAGCTTGACCCTTCTCGAGGCATCAACCAGGGAACAAAGACATCAAGGAAAACGTTAAGCATCTGCCTCCACACTGCATGAGGATGCGCAAGGCTGGCTGGGCAGAGAGGGGCACACTTGTTCTCTTACTGTTAGAAATATTGACAGCGTCCTGCTTTGTCATCAGTGGGACACTACCAGTCCACTGGCTGGGCTGCTGTGTGCCACCCTCCTCCTCCTTACAGCTTCTCCTCTTCGCAAAGGAAGGGTCCATGGGAGCACGGGGAATGCAAAGAGCAGCTCGGAAAGGAAACGCTGGGGCTGCTGGGGCTGGGGCTCTGGCATTTCCCAGCTCCACAGCCACACTTCAGAACATTCCTGAATAACGACCCCAAGAAGAAAATACAACTATCTGCAACACAGGCAGTACTTTTAAACATCATCCCAATCCATACAAGTTAAAAATAAAATAAAAAAGAAATCTGTTTTACACTGATGTACCTTTTTATTAAAGGCAGTTGAAGCACACTGGATGTGTTTCCTAGTATTTCTCAAAATAATTATCTGACCTTTCTTTTTCATCATTCATACTGCCAGCACTATTTATTGCTTTTCAAAGCATGCAGTGGATATTACATCAAATGCTGCCATAACATATTGTGAAGAGCTCTTTGCTTTCCACGTCTGAAATTCCCTGCTCAGGGCAGATCTCTGGAAAAGAAAACATCAGCGAGAAGCTAAATGCTTGTCAAAGGGAAGAGAATCACGCACTCATACTTCACTAAACCTGCTTTTATCAGAGCAAACTTTCTTCCGCAAAGAAATATTCACAGCTCTGGGAAAGGAAACACACTTATCGGATCAGCACTGTTTGCAAAGGAAATGACAAATGGTGAATGTTTATAACTTAAAGCGTTTTTAATGAGCTTAAGTGCTGTATTCTAGTCTTGGAGGAAGAGTAAAAGGACTTAGAAAAACAAGCAGTATAACAGAGATTATGAGATTTATTCATTCCCCTCAAACCACTTGGTACTTGTATATTCTTTCACCATCTTTGCCAGTCCTGCTTTATGGCACACAGGATAATTGCAGTCTGGCGTGGAAGGAGAGCGCCTTTGGCCAGATGGAAAAGTGAGCTGCTCATACCTGTGTCACTTCCCTGCTGGATTCAGTAAACCTACGGCTGAACCAGCAGCCACTGGCCACCAGGCTGCTCGCTGTATTTAACTCTGCAGCGTGGTTCTTGCATGACAGCAGCTGAGCACAGCACAGCGAAGCATGTTCCAGTTTTCCCGTTTCTGTGGTGAAACACATGGGCTGCATTGCAGGTAGCAATGCAGATGCATCCAAGTTTGAAACCAGCTAAAGACAGCAAGTTAGAACAAGAATCTGGGAGTGTAACAATTTCATTAATCATCTTCGTTATCTTGGCATACATCAGGAACTTATTAGCAAAACTTAGGAGCTAAGCAAAGGGGTATGAATGCCTAAAAAACTGCAATTAAAAGAGGACAACATACACCCAAGGGAAGATCAAATAAACACTAATCTGCTAAAGAAGAAAGAATACAGCATATTGGAGGATAGCTCCCTATCACCAGGATGTACCACGCAGCCAGATCCTTCTGCCCCACAAAGCCCAAGGCAGTTCCCCATAGCCATAAATGCAGGACCGAAGCTCGAGGGCTCGGAGCCATGCACGTGAGCAGGCAGCCTGCCCGTAATGTGGGGTAACCCTAAGTGAACAGTGCGAGGCTGAGCCAGCA